CATGGCTTCCAGCCATATCTTCTGCGCTACCCTTTCTTTCACGATTCCAAGCTCACCCCCTCCTTCTCTCCCAAAGACCATGTGATTTCCCCTTCCTTTCTACCCTTGTGTCTCGGGAGGAAGTACAAGGTGTGTCCCAAAAGTCATGAAATATATTTCTTTCCTGCGCTCCTACTGGTCGGAGCGCGCTGGAACCGGTTTGATTAGGGGGGGAGGCCTTTAGCTTCACAGCGCGCCCAAAGGTCAGTCTGCTCGAGCATCGGAGGTGTCAGTATCGCTGATTTAGTGCACCTGTGTTTTGTGACCAAGTCACGGTGCGCTAAGGTGGATACTTTTGAACAACGTTGGGCGGTCAAGTTCTGCACAAAGCTCAACAAAAAAGCTGCCGAAACTCACAAACTGCTTAAGCAAGCCTATGGGGAGTCTGCTCTATCATATGTGCAAGTTATAAGGTGGGTGAAGGAATTTAAGGAGGGCCAGGAAGGAGTGGCAGATGACCCCCGCTCTGGACGGCCATCAACAAGCCAAACCGATGAAAATGTGACTCGTGTGCGTGATTTGTTGAATACTGACCATAGAATGACTGTCTGGTTGTTAGCCGACACTCTGAACATTCCAAAAACCGTTGTGCATCGCATCGTTATGGATGAATTGAACATGCAAAAGGTGTGCACCAAGCTGGTCCCCAAACTGTTGACGGATGAGCTGCCGCAGCCACCCTACAGCCCCGACCTAGCTCCGGTCGACTTCTTTTTGTTCCCCAGGATTAAGACTGCACTCAAAAGACGCCGTTTTGAAAGCATTCAGGCTATCCAAGCGGCCGTGACAACAGCTTTAAATGAGGTTCCTGTCGAGGCCTTTGAGGGGGCGTACCGGGCATGGGAGAGTCGGTGGAAAAAATGTGTAGATGCTCATGGACAGTACTTTGAAGAATATTAACACTTTGTACCGATTTCATCAATAAAATTAAAAAAATTTCATGACTTTTGGGACACACCTTGTATGTTGGAAAGCGAGGTAGGAAGTCTGACAAGTGGATCCATTTGGGTAAGCACGTCTGTGGACCAGCCAGGGATATTTTCTAAATTTCAATTCAGAGGGGTGTTGTTTCAAAATTGCGTTTCGGGATACGCTCTGGGTCCGGCCGCAGACGTTAGGGTTTACAGTCACCAGCTATCAGGGGCATGGCTTGGCGACAAAACGAGAGTTAGTTTATATATATATATATTATTTTCTTGAGGCCACCTGTGACTGAGGTTTGCTTAGGCTGTATTATAGACATGTAATTTCGTGATGCCACCTGTGGCGGACTAGTTCAGTTTAGTTATTCTATGTATCTGTCTTGATGCCGCATGTGACTAGGAAGGAAGTGACTTGTATTCAAATGCCAGTGGGCCAATGAAACTGGGCAGGTTATTGAGCTGATGCCCCAAGGTGGGGATTAATGTTGGGTGGACACACTCAGCCAGGTTTATTCTATCTGTATATGTATTTTTGTGTATTCTGTCCTAACTTATTTTTGTGTTTATTAAACATTGTTATTGTTAGTTTTGGGTGTCATTGACTTCAATAATGATTCTCTGCTGCGAGCTTGGTTTCCCACGACGATCTTAGGGAGCATTGTAAACACGACGCGAGGGCCAGGGACGACGAACCGCTCCCGACTTCACCGATGCTTGGTGGTGGTAGGGTGAAGACGGGAGAAGTATCGGTTCACAGCAACCATCGACAACCTGTTGATCATCGCCTTGCTCTTCCTGGTGAGATTCGATAACAAAGACGCATTTTCTTCGGCAACCTCTTTCGCTACCTTGGCCATTATTACCATCGATGTAATGTTACTTTGGTAGTTCTCCAAAATATTCACACACTTTACTACAACACAATAAAGTCAACCACACGACCTCCTACTAGCTGCCTCGTCTGCGAACACCACAAAATGGCTACCTACGTATCCATATCAATGATGAAACACGGCCCTTAATTGGTCTCCAGCAAACACTATACAATATAGCACTTTTCAATATCCAATCACATCGTTTGTCACTTTATGCGTAAAGTTCCAACTTCTACATCATCCGAAAGGTGTCGCAATCGTCACAATGGAAAAAAGCTGCTTGGATTTGGAAATGAATTGTAAAAATAATAAATAGGCACCACTGATACTGAATACATATATATAAAATTGTTTGCCATGTAATACGGTACTTAAAGTTTGAAAATTAATTGATTTAATATGACAAGGTTATCTAGGCCAAATGGGCAGCTTCTGCAGTCAAGGCGAAAGGCTAAATAGGTGCAAGGAAATAAGATGGTGGACTGCCATTAAGTGGTACCAATGGGCTGAATTAAACGAAATAAACTCTTGTCTAAAGAGTTGGAAGAGACTACCGTCAAACTCGAGGTTATACCTGGTGTAATGGTGAATGTGAAGTCGAACGACTCAAAATAGTTGGCTAACGACCGAATGTAAAAGGTATAAAGTATTGGAAAGAAGAACATAGGAACTGTAGATATACGCCATACTTTGCTGTAACTACTAATGCTACTAATTGTCAGTATGACTGGTATAATGTTCTATTAAATCTAACGGACTACCCATCAGGTGGAGAAGATGGCGCATCTAAAACGCAAGAGGTTGAAGATTGTCGTGATACAGAAAATGCACAGCCGAGGCATTATATAAAGCATCATATTGGTGCACCAAAAAAAGTGCATAATCGATATAGATATGGAATGTGAATGTTCAGGAAGATCATACCAAACACCAAAACATTCCAACTATTATAATAGTTGGAATGTTTTGGTGTTTGGTATGATCTTCCTGAACATTCACATTCCATATCTATATCGATTATGCACTTTTTTTGGTGCACCAATATGATGCTTTATATAATGCCTCGGCTGTGCATTTTCTGTATCACGACAATCTTCAACCTCTTGCGTTTTAGATGCGCCATCTTCTCCACCTGATGGGTAGTCCGTTAGATTTAATAGAACATTATACCAGTCATACTGACAATTAGTAGCATTAGTAGTTACAGCAAAGTATGGCGTATATCTACAGTTCCTATGTTCTTCTTTCCAATACTTTATACCTTTTACATTCGGTCGTTAGCCAACTATTTTGAGTCGTTCGACTTCACATTCACCATTACACCAGGTATAACCTCGAGTTTGACGGTAGTCTCTTCCAACTCTTTAGACAAGAGTTTATTTCGTTTAATTCAGCCCGTTGGTACCACTTAATGGCAGTCCACCATCTTATTTCCTTGCACCCATTTAGCCTTTCGCCTTGACTGCAGAAGCTGCCCATTTGGCCTAGATAACCTTGTCATATTAAATCAATTAATTTTCAAACTTTAAGTACCGTATTA